TATACCGCTCCAAGCGTGGGCTGCCAAAAAGGCAGCCAGCTTTCGTCAGATGACTGCGGAGCGTACAGACTTACGCGTGAGGCTTATGAACGAGATTATACAGGGCATACAGGTGATTAAGATGTATGCCTGGGAGAAGTCCTTTGCGCGCGTCATTGCCGAGGTGCGTCTGAAGGAAGTGAACGCCATTCGAGGAACTGCCTACATTCATGCCGCTCTCAGCTGCACCTCGATGATCTCTCCACTGTCTGTGTTCCTCGCCCTCTGCTCGTATGTTTACCTGGGCGATGCACTCACTGCCAAGAAGGTCTACATGTTATCCTCCTACTTCAACATGCTCAACGATTCCATGGTTCACTTTTGGCCTCTATCCATCACGTTCATAGCGGAGGCACTGGTCTCGGCGCAACGCTGCAAGGAATTTCTGCTGGATGGCGACAAGGCCGAGGTGCCAATCAAACTGGAGTCGGATGCCAAGGCGCCCAAGAACAAGCGCAAGGTAACCCGAGAGGACAAACTGAAGAATGTCGAGGTAAATGGCACGCTGCTGATCAACGGTGAGCCGACGACACAGACGCAGCACAGTCGGCTGCGCGACTATAGCCCGGATGCGCCACAGAAGTGCGTGGTCTTGAAGAACGTCTCCGCTTCGTGGGACTCAAGTGATGGTCATGCCAACTGCGCCATCGATAGCTTCAGCACGGACATTCAGGATCAGACGTTGACTGCTGTGGTTGGCCCAGTTGGTGCCGGCAAGTCCAGTCTCCTTCATGTGCTGCTCGGCGAGGTGGGCATTGATCAAGGCGAGGCATCGGTGCATGGCAAGATCTCATATGCTGCACAGGAGCCGTGGGTCTTTGAGGGCACCATACGCGATAATATCGTCTTTGTTGAGGACTACAATGAGCGGCGCTACAAGAAGGTGATCAAGGCGTGTGCCTTGGAACGCGATCTGGAGCTAATGCCAAAGGGTGATCTAACTGTGGTGGGCGAACGCGGAGTCAGTCTCAGCGGTGGTCAGAAGGCGCGCGTGAGTCTAGCCCGGGCTGTCTACCGCAAGGCAGATATCTACCTGCTGGACGATCCGCTGTCTGCTGTCGACACGCACGTCGGCAAGCACATCTTTGACAGGTGCATACGCGACTTTCTGTCCAACAAGATACGCATATTGGTCACACATCAGCTGCAGTATTTGTTCGACGTGGAGCACCTGCTGCTGATGTCCTCCGGCAAGGTTGTGGCGCAGGGCAGCTATCAGGAGCTGCAGCGCTCACGCCAATTTCAGTTCCTGGAGCAGGCACGTGCGCACGATGAGAGCGGCATCGACACGGACAGCGTTCATAGTCACATGTCGCGCAGTGATTCCGAGAAGAGCATGGATCAGCATAATACGTTGCTGCGGCCCGATGAAACCGTGGAGGAGATCAACCAGGAGCAGCAGTGTGTGGGCGCGGTTAAGTTCAGCGTATACGCTTCCTACTTCAAGGCACTTGAGAGCACATTTTTCTTCAGCTTGATTGTGGTGCTCTTCGTTTGCTCGAGGATCATGCTCACGGGTGTGGACTACTTCCTTTCCCGCTGGTGAGTTTGAGGAGTTCTAAAAAAAGTGCATTATTCACTAATCACATATTCCTTTCGTATAGGGTAATTTGGGAGGAAAAGATTGCTTTAAACGGCAGCTCCCTTGCTGTGCCAGCAGCTGTCAATGCCACGCTGGATGTGACCACAGAGGTGTCTGTTAATGATACAGTGTTCAGTGCCTTGCCGACAGAAAATGTGGCAAATGCGGACATTGAGAGTGACGTGCGTCAGGAGCTTGTCGTATTCTATGCCGCGATTCTGTTCGCCACGTTAATTGTTTACCTGATGCGCACCTTTGGCTACTTTAGGATGTGTCTGCGCATTTCTCTGCGCCTGCACGATCGCCTCTTCCGTGGAATCACACGCGCCACCATGTACTTTTTCAATACGAACTCCTCTGGCCGCATTTTGAATCGCTTCTCCAAGGACATACGCACAGTGGACACTGATCTGCCGCACACGCTGCTGGATTGCCTGGCTGTAATTATTTCTTTATTATCAAATACGTTATTTATTGATAAACTGACAAGCCTTTCAATACTTGCAGTTTGCCATTGATGTCTCCGGCGTGCTGGTCATTGTAGCCATTGCAAATTATTGGCTGCTGGTGCCCGCGGCTGTGATTGTCGTCCTTCTCGGCTGCATACGTTACCTTTATGTGAACACGAGTCGCAGCATCAAGCGACTGGAGGGCATATGTAAGTCCACAAATTTTCTTTAGTCTGGTTAATGTGAATCATGAAGCTTTGTTTCTTTTGCAGCTCGCAGTCCCATCTACTCGCTGACAAATCAAACGTTTCAAGGTCTAACCACAGTACGTGCTCTGCAGGCACAGAGCGCGTTGGAGAGCGAGTTTCACGAGTATCAAAATGCCAATACCTCCGCCTGGTTTCTCTTCCTCTCGTGCACACGCGCATTTGCGTTGTGGTCGGACCTGTTGTGCATTGGCTATATCACAGCCGTCACATTTAGTTTTCTGCTGCTGCGCAACGAGTTTAACAGCGGCGATGTCGGGTTGGCGATATTGCACAGCACCACCATGACTGGCATGTGTCAGTGGGGTATGCGGCAAACTGCACAGCTGGAGAATGAGATGACCAGCGTTGAACGTGTGCTGGAGTATACGGAACAGCCATCGGAGCCGCCACTGGAGACTGCTGAGAAATTCAAACCGAAAACCGAATGGCCTAGCAAAGGACGCATTGAGTTCATTAACTTTAAGCTGCGGTATGCACCAAAGGAGGAGCCTGTGCTGCGAGATCTGAACTTTACCATTGAGTCGCGAGAGAAGATTGGTATTGTGGGACGCACCGGTGCTGGCAAATCCTCCATTATACAGTCAATATTCCGCTTGGCCTGCAATGAGGGCATGATTCGCATAGATGATGTCGATATTGAGCACATGGGCTTGCATGATTTGCGCAGTCGTATCTCCATAATACCACAGGATCCTGTGCTATTCTCTGGAACACTGCGCTACAATCTGGATCCGATGAATGAACGAACAGATGAAGAGATGTGGAAGGCACTGGGCGATGTAGAGCTGCGTTCCTATGTATCCACGCTCATTGGTGGTCTCAATTGTCGCATGTACGATGGTGGCTCCAATTTCAGCGTGGGTCAGCGGCAGCTTGTGTGCCTGGCACGAGCCATACTCCGTAACAACCGGATACTGATATTGGATGAGGCTACGGCCAATGTGGATCCAGAGTATGCGTTGAATTGGATTCTTTTTCTGTCCATTGTTGTAATTATGTTTTATTTTGCAGAACCGACAAGCTGATTCAGCAAACGATCCGCTCCAAGTTTGCCAACTGTACAGTACTGACCATTGCCCATCGACTGCATACAGTTATGGACTCGGACCGTGTCTTGGTCATGGATGCAGGCGAGGTGCGAGAGCTGGGCCATGCCTACGAGCTGCTGCAACGGCCCGACGGCTATTTGCGTCAGCTGGTGAACAATACGGGTACATCGATGGCGAATGCGCTAATGCAGGCGGCGGAAGAGAGCTATAGCAAACGGCTATTGGATGGACGAATATCTGCCGATGATCTGAATATCACGGCAGCGATGCACGAGCACAACGATTAGCACAGTAATAACTCACCCAGCAACAAAAGCACAAAACTTATTTAAGATGCATAGCATTGGGAACTGAAAGTATTATGAGCGTACATCAAAATGTTGTACTTAACTTTAATTTATGTTTTCTCTGTGCTGTGTAATTGTACATAAATTTATGTATGTAAGCGTGATTATATTGTTAACTTGTTACTTAAATTTCGAATGGCGAATTTATGAATGCAATACTTTCGTTAGATATGTCTAATGTATACCTCCGCTATGTCTTCAGAAAACTATAAAGCTCGAAAGCAATTTGCACAAATCAAAATGCAACTTAAATCAGACTATATCTACTGCTATTTTTTTTATACATCTACTGTATACACCTAATATAGATACTATATAGTCTAAAGTAATGACATTGTACTTATGTAGGTATATATGTAAACAATAAAGTGCCTGAGAATGATTACACCAAACAATAAATTAAAAATCTATGCCTTAACTGCTATTAGCTAATATTTATATTAGTCATAAGACGGTCAATATATATCGCGGATCTGGAGCGAGCAGATAAAAAAAAAACTAAATTAAAAAAATTCTTTCTGTTAAGTGGGAAGGGCTTTAATCAAAATTGTCAATACTTAAAAAGTGTAGTAAAATATATTGGGAATATCTGGTTAAAGTGGACAGCTAACATTCAAGTGTTCGACTGATAGATACCCTATAGACAGAGATCATGGTTTGTGAGTATTATGTGTGATAGTTGACTAATTGATAGAAAAAAAATGATGGAACTTGTTCATATAAAATTTTAGTATGGAGAACTCTGCAAAGATAAATACTTTTCATTTAGATACGCTCTATGTTTAGCTATATGGATCTGTATTTAAAATGTGGGCAGCAGAGATAGCACTATTTGTGACCTATTAAATATGATTTTCCTTAAACACAATTTTAGAAATTTAAACCATGTACAGGGTATTTGGAATATATATTACTCATAGCTTGGTTTATTGAGCTAACTGTTAACCTGAACTATGGCACTCTGGCCATGTTTTCGGTTGCGACTGCAGTGCGGCTGATGGTTCGCTGTCAGGCGGCATTAAGATAAAACTGGCACCGAGTGGTGCGATAGGGCAGCTCGGATCATTGATTTATACCGATGATTCGCGAACGTAGCAAAACATTCCGTTAAAAATCAAATGCCTTTCACACACGCCCTATCAGTTACGAGTGAAACGGCAAAGGCGACGGCCACACGCGCGAATTGCTTTAAAGGATCTGTGCGGTCTTTAATATGTATAGAAATATACTCGTGTGATATAAGAAATATACATATGTATATATATTAAATATATATATATATAGATAGATAGTGATTTAAGTGAAGTTTAGGCCACACAATGTGCGCGACTAAGGAGCCACGCAAACCAAATCCAGTGCTGAAGGCCAATTTCTTATCCAAGTGGTTTTTTATGTGAGTGCGCGATCTATAAATCTCAGTCGAATTACCATGAACAAATGTTTATTTAATCATAAATATTCAGTGGTTTGTCAGCCATTGCAAGATAATATTACGTATACGCGCAGTGCTTCAAATTTCGTAATGAAGCAAATGCTGGCAATTTTTACAGAATCAAATCATGTTAGGCGCGATCAACTCCTGCTGCCTGCCGTCTGCTGCTGCCTGTCAAGTTGATAAGATAAAGATTGAAGTAAAGCAAATCGCTTACAGATTTATGACAGTGTCGTAACGCTTGCCTGTCAATTTGTATGCAGAACGTGCCGCAGTTTCTACGAAAATATTCGACTGATAATAAAGCATATATATATGGCCGTCTTTAGGGAGTATGAATTCCCATTTTCGAATATTGCCTGGCTCCATTAAGCCATATTCAACAATTCCAGACAATTTCAAGTCTGACGGCACCAACAATGTCATCAGACTTGTTGCATGGCATATAAAGATAATGTTAACTAAAAATATATTTATATATCCCTTTTTTTTTGCGACAACTCCCTGAGTTTTCCTAAAATAGACGTCCGTCCATCATAATTTGGTTAGCTTAAAGCATTCACCACATTTGGTATGACACTGCATATATTCTGATATTTCTTTCTTTCATTCCCTTTCTCTATAAATATACCCATGGAATGCGTATTGAATTATTTATTATACTTCCGTAATCTAATAGACATTGCAGATATAGTTCATCATAAATATTCGTATATCTTATCTGCCATCTCAAACGAAGTTTTTGTTCATTCAAGAATGCATTCTCAAAAACAGAGGCATTAACGGATTATAGGGTATTCTCCAGTCGCTCGGGACATAGCAGACAGGTCAACTCCATCTTTATCTTATTTCACGAACAGCATTTTGTTTTTGTCAGCTGGTCACGTGAGATTCTGCGCAAGGGCCATGGCAAGTCGATTGATCCCAAGGACTTATATGCGCACATTCCAAGCCTGGACAGCGCGGAGGTGTCGCACTCTCTGCTGGGCTACTGGGAACACGAGCTGAAGCGCTCGCAACCGAATGTGCTGCACATGATCTTCAAGGCGTACGGCACAAGCTTTGTGCCCATCTGCATTCTGTACTCTCTGTTGGAGATATCCTTGCAGTAAGTGGAAGCTAATTGGGATATACATATACCGACGCCATTCCTCACATTTATCCTTGTTTAGCACCATGCAACCTCTGCTGCTGGGCAGGTTCGTGTCCTTCTTCTCGGAGAGCAATGCCAACGAGTCCATGGAGGCAGCCTACTTGTACGCAATGGGCGTCGTCCTCTGCTCGCTCATCAAAGCTCTGTGCTATCACCCATTCATGTTCTATCTGTTCGAGCTGGGCGCTCGCATACGCCTGGCCTGCGCCGGGCTCGTCTACCGGAAGTGCCTGCGCGTCTCCGTGGCGGCCGATAACAGCGGCATGAGCGGCTACGCGATTGCCATCATGGCCACCGACCTGCCCCAGTTCAATGAGACGTTCTACTACTTTCACGAGCTGTGGAAGGGCCCATTGGAGGGGCTGATCTTTGGCTACATCATCTACCAGGTGATTGGCTGGCCAGCCTTGGTGGGCATCGCCACCATCATACTCTTCATCCCGCTGCAGGTGTGGGCGGCCAAGGCGACGGCGCGCTTCAAGCGCCTTTCGGCGGAATACGGCGACGAGCGCGTCAAGCTAATGAACGAGATCATATCGGCGATGCAGGTGATCAAAATGTACGCCTGGGAGAAGTCCTTTGGCAAGCTCATAGCACGCGTGCGCAAAAAAGAGATGGGCGCCATCCGCGGCTCCATGTACGTCTATGCGGCGCTGCAGTGCACCGATATGATCTCGAAGCTCTCGCTCTTTCTGTGCCTGGTCGCTTATGTCTTCACTGGCGACGTGGTCACCGCCCAGAAGGTGTTCATTGTGTCCAGCTATTATGACCATCTCAACCAGTCGTTGCTGCATCTGTGGCCCATGGCCATTAACTCCTGGGCGGAGACGCATGTGGTTGCACGCCGACTGTTGGACTTTCTGCTGCAGCAGGAGGATCCCGCCGACGGTGGTGTAGCGAACTTCAACGATGTCGACGACGACCTGCAGCACGGCAACTACTTCGGACGCATGCACAATCCGCGAGCCATGCGCAAGAGCGTCACACTGCATGAGCTGACGGCCAGTTGGGATCAGCCCGGGCAGGAGAAGCGCCAGCGGCACATCGAGAACATTAGCTTCCAGGTGGAGGAGCAGCAGTTCGTTGGCATTGTGGGCACCGTCGGCTCCGGCAAGAGCACGTTGCTGGCCGCTCTGCTGGGCGAACTGGACATCATCAGCGGCAGCGTGGAGCTGAATGGAGTCATCAGCTATGCGCCGCAGGAGCCCTGGCTCAATCGTTGCAGTCTGCGCGAGAACATCATCTTCATGGAGCCGTACGACGATCAGCGGTACAAGGATGTGCTGCGGGTCTGCCTGCTGGACAAGGACATTGATCAGCTGCCGCATGGCGACGCCACCATCGTGGGTGAGTCCGGCGCCAGTCTGAGTGGCGGCCAGAAGGCCAGAGTTAGCCTGGCCCGAGCTGTTTACCGCAAAGCGGATATCTATCTGCTGGACGATCCGCTCTCTGCCGTGGACACGCATGTCGGGCGGCTGCTCCTGCAGCGTTGCCTAAACGAGTTCCTCAGCGACAAAATACGGATTCTGGTTACCCATTGTGTGTCCCTGTTGCGCAATGCCGATCACATGGTGCTCATGGAGAGCGGACGCGCCACCATTCAGGGCCGCTACGAGTCACTCAAGAAGCTGATACACTTTCGCATGTCCGTGGTCAATGACAGCGAGGTGGCCAGACTGCGCGCCGTTCGGGCGGATAGCATCTTTGAGGAGGTGCCGCCACACGAGCAGCGCACCCAGCAGCAGCTCCAGCTGCAGCTGGACGAGCACGAGCAGCTCCACAAGGAGCAGCAGCACCAGGGCTCCGTCAAGCTCAGCTCCTACAAGCAATATTATGCCGTGCTGGGCCTCCCCTTTGTGGTCTGCCTCATATTCTTCCTCTTTCTGCTGGCGCGCGGCTTTGAGGCCACCATGGACATCTCTCTGTCCAAGTGGTATGTATTAACTACAATTTGTAGGGCTAGTTGAATCGTCACCTACCCATTTCACAGGGCCACCTGGGAGGAAACCCAGCCGGACGAAACGGAGCCAGAGATCGAACGCCGCGAGATTCGCATGCGCATGGTCATCATCTATACCGTGCTCATTGTGAGCACCCTGATTCTGTATATGGTGCGCACCTTTGGCTTCTTCATGATGTCCCTGCGCATTTCACTGCGCCTTCACAACTCCCTCTTCAACGGCATCATACGCGCCAGCATGCAGTTCTTCACGCTGGCCTCCTCGGGCCGCATACTCAATCGCTTCTCCAGCGACATTCTATCCATTGACATCACCCTGCCGCAGGCCATGATGGACTCATGGGAGTTCTTCGTCAATGGCCTGGCCGTGATTGTCGTCGTTAGCACTGCCAACTATTGGCTCTTGATTCCAGCCCTTATCATGATCAGCCTGCTCTACCTTGCCCGCCGCCTCTACATAGGCGCCAGCAGAAGCCTCAAGCGCATCGAGATTATTTGTGAGTGGAATATACATTGATATCAAGGTTATTCTCAATCTCTGACTGATTCTCCCCAATCCCAGCTCGCAGCCCCATCTACTCCTATACGAATACCACCTTCAAGGGCCTCACCGCAATCCGCGCCCTAAGCGCCACCAAGCGGCTGGAGAGCGGCTTCCACAACTATCAAAATGAGCACACCTCGGCTATCTATCTGCATGCGAGCATCAATAGGGCCTTTGCCTTCTGGACGGATCTCATCTGTGTGCTGTACATTCTGGTGGTTACGTTCAGCTTCCTGGTGATCAATCGCAGCTTCTACAGCGGCGATGTGGGCCTGGCCATAACGCAATCCATGACCTTGGGCATCATTTGCCAGTGGGGCATGCGGCAGACCGTCGAGCTGGAGAACCAGATGACCAGCATAGAGCGGGTCCTGGAATACGTGCAGATACCTCCAGAGCCCTCCTACGAGACTGAGGCAGCCGTCAATCTGCCCGCGAATTGGCCAAGTGCGGGCCAGCTGCATTTTAAGGATCTGCGTTTGCGCTACGGTGAACACGGACACTATGTGTTGAAGGGACTCAGCTTCACCATACATCCCAAGGAGAAGGTGGGCATTGTGGGTCGCACAGGCGCTGGCAAGTCCTCCGTGGTCCAGGCGATCTTTCGCCTGGCGCTCAACGAGGGCCTCATCGAGATCGATGGCTATGATATTGCCAAGCTGGGTCTGCAGGATTTGCGCAGCCGTATCTCGATTATACCACAGGATCCGGTTCTCTTTTCGGGCACGTTGCGCTACAACCTGGACCCGTTTGAGCATCAGCCGGACGAGGAACTGTGGCAGGCGCTAGACGCCGTCAAGCTAAAGACATTCGTTTCGGCCCTGAACGGCGGCCTCAACTACAGACTGCACGACGGAGGCGCCAACTTCAGCATGGGCCAACGCCAGCTAATCTGCCTGGCCCGAGCCATACTGCGGCACAACACAATACTCATCATGGACGAGGCAACGGCCAACGTGGATCCGATGTAAGTGTGAACCCCAATATGATTCATAGTCGAAATATTAACCACTTATGTAGCTCATGAGCTCATCAAGCACAAGTGCCTATTATCCATCATGACGACAGCTAAATTGATTTGACAATTTCCGTCCGTAAAGTACAAAACCGAGACACAGATATGTGCCATAGATATTTGGAAGTCTCTTACGTCATGCGCGGAACAAGTGTATCATTATTTTTCCATATCTAATCCAGTTCTCTGATTATCACTAAAAACCGATTATCAGACTGAGCATAACTGAAAGACAATAGAATTAGTCATATCATGGGCGAACGCACTTCTTTTACATAGGTATTCCGGTATTCCTTCAAATGAGAGCCTGGAAAGCATGTTATAGGGTACCTCATAGTCGGACATTGCCGACAAAATCACTTCAACTATATTATAAATGCATCCCAATGCCACTTGCAGCACGGATCAGCTCATCCAGGAGGCCATACACACAAAGTTCGCCAACTGCACGGTGCTGACCATTGCGCACCGCTTACATACGGTCATGGACTCGGATCGTGTGCTGGTCATGGATCGCGGTCGGGTCGTGGAGCTGGGTCATCCGCACGAGCTGCTGCAGCAGCGCAATGGGTATCTCTACCGGTTCGTAGAGAAGACGGGCGCTGGTAGTGCCAAGCACCTGCGGTACGTAGCGGAGCAGAGCTATTACAAGCGCGTGATCAGCAAACGTCAGCCGGCCGATCAGCCGGATCTGGAGCCGGAGGGCAGGCTGAGCGTATTCCGGGGCACCACACTATAAAAGACTGTAGTTTATGTTTTGTTTTGTAAGTTATGGTAATATAGTTTTTATTATAGTGAACTGATCTTTAAATATAAATCTATATAGTTTTGTATATATGTATATATATATGTATGTATATATATATATGTGTATATATATGCACATTATATGTATAATATACGAAGTGGTTGTTGTAGCGTTTCAGCTTCTTAAAGTTTTTGAAAAAAAGCATTTGTAAGTATTTGGTTTTCATAATTTCTTATCTTGTTCTTTAGAATGCCATGTATTTATTTACTTAACGATTAACTAGCGCGCTATAAACCTGGCTACTATTTAGTGTGTTTAGTGTTTTCAGTTTTTCTTCTTTTTTTTCAATACTATAACTACGCTCAACTCCTAGTTGTTCATGTTGTTGTGTCTAGTATTACATGAGTCACATGAGAAATCTTGAATGTAGTTCTTGCCTGTTTTCATACTTTAGCATTCAATATATTTATTAATATTATTATTCTATTATTTTCCGTATGTGCATTTTTTTCTACTATTCTTTTCTATATAGATTTTTATTAGATTTACGAAATTTTGCTAGGTATATGTATAAAATTTGTTTTTGATTTTTGTTTAGTAAAGTGTAAATGAATTTATCGCATACTTTTCTTTTTCACTAGACTTTTATAATTTTTTTATATATATTTTTTTTTCATGTAATTTTATTGTGTATAAATATTAAAGTAAATAAAGCATATATTTTGATGTATATAATTTTTTAAAATATTTGTTTCTTATGATTTTATTTGCTTATTTAAAATTCGCTTACTTAAAGTCTGCCTTCAACATTTTTGTAGTTTGATGTAAATAGAAAAATCAGTGTCTGGAGAATGTTCATAAATCTTATGTATATGTATATATAAGTATATATGTGTATATTTATATTTAGATTTTAGCTTTTCCTTATGTGTTGTCACAAAAACCAAGTTAAACCTTGAAATCCTTCCCCAAATTTCAAAGCTTAAGTTGTTTTTTCTTCTTCTTTTCGGATCTTGAATAAACTCTGTGTTCGTCTGTTTTCTAAACATCTTACTCTTGTGCTGTGTATGAATGTAAATAGGTATGTATACATATATATATATATAATTTAGATGCCCTAGAAATAAGATTGTTTGTCTGCCATTTAAGAAAAATTCGATGCAAGTTGAATAAAATTATTATTATTATTACTATGATTGGTATTACATTTTGATCTTTATTGTAATTAATTACTTGTTTTTAGCAAATATGTATTTGTTCAAGCAATTTTATTTTTGTTTAAGTTTTATTGTTGTTTGAAATTTTAAGTATCCTGTTTAAGATTATGCGATATACTTTCGCTCTACTATATTGTACGTACCATTTTAGGCTTATTTCTGTAGGTATTGGTAAAGTTAGTTAATTAAGGTATTTATTTAAACTTTTTTTGTTTACTTTTCATTTGTATGTTTTTTTTTTAAGTATAAACACATTTTGTATTCACTTTCTTATTCTCACAGTTAAGCTTCTTTGATTGAGCACAAAAGCAAATGAGAGTTTTTTGTTGAGGGGGGGCTTAGCGGAAAACCAAAAAACCTTAATATACTCAACATTCTATGTACTATA